AAAAAAAAAAAAAGACATTAAACAACAGTGTCATGTCAGATCTTTCTCTCTCTATATCAGTTCTGCTCAAAAGTGCGCTGGAGAAGATGAAGTAAGTGGCTTTACCTTGTTCTGCTTGAGTGCGCTCTTCTCCTTCATGTGTGGACAGTCTTTCCCCGTCAGCACTGCTTTAATGTCCGACACGGGAACTGTGGGTCAATGACAGTGAGTCTGAATACACTGTGCAACACGTGATGTGAATAATATTCAGTGGTTTTATGTCACGTAAGTGCGCTCACTCTTATCGGTGAGCAGTTCAAACGGCACTTCACCCTGCGGAGACTCGTCCAGATCTCCGTAGTGCAGGACCTTGTGATTTAACGACAGACGGCAGAACCAGAACTTCTCTGTGAGAGGAACCAAAGATCATTAGAAGAGGAAACTCACATTACAGAAGAATAGCGCAGAAGCGGCTGTCATGGGCAGATGTGAGCTTTCGGCACCTTGTCTCCGTCTGTTGCCGAGTTTGCGAAAGCAACTTCCCTCACACAGACGATTGAGTCGCTGCTGTTTGATCAGCTCCAGAATCTCTGGCTGGATCCGCTCACGCAGCTCACTGACAATCAAGAGGAAACACACTTGAGACCAGCTGATCCTCAAACTCAGATAAACTCAAATGAGCATTTGGATTGGTTGGTCGCTCCTCCTCAGTACTTTTGCCTTGTTTTCCAGTGCAGGTGTCTAAAGATTCTTAAATCAAGATCCATTTACCCGAGAAGCAAAATGACAGAAGATAATAAGTCTTGTTTTTTGCTAAACTGGTCAAAATGAAGTGAGTTTTTTATTAAATCAAGAACAAATATCTGCCAGTGGTCTCAGAAAAATAACCTTAATTCAGTTAAGTAATTTTCATAACCCACTAACAGATATTTGTTCTTGTTTTAAGAATAACCTCACTTCATTTTGTTCAATTTCTCAGAAAACAAGACTCAAGACTGTTCATCATTTTGCATCTCTAATATCTTGATTTAAGCAGTGTTGGAAAGTTACATTGGAAATGTAATCTGTTACAGATTACAAGTTACCCTATTTAAAATGTAATACATAGTGTAACTATTTCAATTACTTCATTAATGTAACTGATTACATTTGATTAATTTTTGATTACTTTTCTAAATTTCTAACAAATGTTTTCAACTGTTAATCATTTTCAAATATTTAAACCAGGCAGGGTTAACCTTGCAGTAACACTCAACACTAAACTCAAGATTATAGCATTTTAATTTTAAAGCACAGCCACCACAAAATCAGACTTATCGCCTCTTTTTACTTTCAAATCGTTATGATTTTTGATTTTAAAATTTTCAGCACTGAAACACATTTTTATCACTCGCCATGGTGGCAGCTCTTAAGACAGGTTGTAGCCTAAAGCTTTCAGCAGCAATGTGGATTGATGTAATTGGCAAATGTGGTGCGCTGCAAATTCAAACAAGAGAACCAATCAGAAGCATCAGAACAGCATTGCTTTACTAAACAGCCTTTAAATGGCTGGAGGCATCGTGCACATCAAAAACAGGCAAAGCAACAAATGAATATTATTCAACATATCCTAGCTTTTTACAGAAAATATTCAGATGTAACACCCTTTGTAATCGTTACCATTTTCATAAGTAACAGTAATTTAATTACACATTTTTTTCTCAGTAACTGTTACTCCCCAACACTGGATTTAAGGATGTTTAGGTATTTGAACTGGAAAACAAAACCACTGAGAATGAACATCATTTTTGTAGTGCATGCAAGATTTCATGCCATGACTATGAGTTTAATACTTTCTGCTCTGATTTAAAACCTTTTAAGGCCTTAAATTGTGGAAGGGTAGACCTTTTTAAGACCCATAGAAACCCTGTAATGAGAAACTATGCTTCTAATCACAGGTTGAGAGTTGTAGGTCCAACCCCACATCGCTCCATTTCATGCTTACTTTTAAAATCATAAAGACCTATAATTTGGTTTAATTTCCTCAATGCATTAGCGGTTTATAACTCAGGCATGTGATCAGCTAGAGACAAAAAGGAAGGAAAATCTGACCATGCCCCAAGTCACGCCCACAAGCCACGCCCCCAGCACTTATTATTAAAAATATAATATATTTTAGCATATTTAAAGATATATCTTATATTAATACATACTATTGTCCTGTAAAAAATAAAAAGCAGCATTTAATAATCATGATAACAATATAATACAATATATTATAATAAAGTACTATAATATATTATAGTAAAGTATATAGAATTGTTATTATTATTAAAGTACCTGCCAAAATTTTGGAAACATTACAGTTATTAATGATTTTGAAATAAATATCTTCTGCTCATCAAGGCTGAATTTATTTGATCAAAATAAAGTTAAAAAAAAACAAACAGCAATATTGTGAAATATTATTACAGTTAAGTATTATAAAAAGTTTTCAATTTTATATTATATATTATAAAATGTAATGCTATTCCTGTGATGCAAAGCAGAATTTTCTTCATTACTCCAGTTTTCAGTGCCACGTGATCTTTTAGAAATAATTACAATTTATTTGACTCTCAAGAAACATTTCTGATTATTATTAATGTTGAAAATTTTGCTGCTTAATATTTTGTGTGGAAATGGTGATACACTTTATTTTTCAGGATTGTTTGATAAATATAATGTTTAATGAACAGCATTTATTTGCATTTATCAAATATATTAATTAAATTTGTTAATGCATTTATTAAATAGAAATCATTTTAAATGTCTTTACTCACTTTTTATCACTTTCATGCATGATGAATAAAATTATTAATTTCTCTTTTTTTTTTTTTATCTTATACAAATGTTTGAGTGGTATCATTGTTTCCACAAAAATATTAAGCAGCAAAACTGTTTTTAACATTGATAATAATGAGAAATGTTTCTTGAGCAGCAAATCAGCATATTAGAATTATTTCTGAAGATCATGTGACACTGAAACTTGATTTATAAACGTTTCTAATGACGAATGTTGCGTTCCCAAATGCAAATTAAAGCGGCTCAAACCAAGCGCAGCTAGGAGTGAATAGAAACTAAAAACAGTACTGTCACAAACAGTACTGTAACAGCAGACATGTAGCACGTCAGACTACAGCCTATTATATAATTACATCACAACCGTTGCGAATGTTATGACAGCACTAGCAATCTCAAATTCTCACCGCCATTCATAAAAAGTCACCGGGTCGAGTAACACGTTTCAGCGCTGATTCTACTCGCGTTTGGTGCTTTGAATCATTTGAACGCTTTTAACTGTCCTGTAGATGGCGCTGCAAGCTCGTGCAGCGCTCTCAGGACCATTCCGTCCATGATGTTTTACAAAACAATCTTTTCCTAGTTTATTTAGGTAATATCTTCAGGCCATTTGTGCGATTTCAATCATCATGCAGTAACCAACCCCCATCCAAAAAAAAACCTCGGATCTACGTGAACCACATGTCCCTCAGAGGTCGGAAAATACGGAAATCTGTATTTATACGGAAAAATCACATCCCTGATAACTACATGATTGACTGATTAGGAGATCCTTGATCTTGAATACAGCTTACTGATGCAGTTGCTCTTTACTCACATTATAGGAGGCGACTGGAAGTCGTCCTGACTCATTCTCTCTGACTGACGCAGACGCAGGATCTCCGAGTAGCTTAGACTGCGCAGTTTGACCCGCAGCTGCTCCAGAGACGGCGGTTTCATGGCCAGAGCTCTAGTGATTTGCTCCCGCACCACCGTCATCACCTAAAATACACACACAGAGTGTTCGCTGACACAAACACACGCACATGAAACTGTCTGTCTTCTAGCAGACACTCTCACTAACACACACCTTGTTGAAATCTTCTGCAGTGGCCCTCATTTCTTTCCATGTCTTACTGAGCAGCTGTATGCAGACGCAGAAAAACTCTTCCCAAGCATGCTCGTGGGTAAAAAACATGGGATGGAAGTCGTTACACCCTTCATTCGCTGCAGAGACAAGACAAGTTTACATCCGCATTTCCACAAGCCTCTCTTTATATGACTGTCACAGTACATCACAGAAACACACACATTACAGAAACATTTGTCACAGTGCAACTTAAAAGTGTAACAAAACTGATACTGGATGACATTAAAACTTTTGCCTGCTTCACACAGAAATTTTATTTCCAGTCTGCTTCATCACACCTGCCTGTGTATTTTCAAGTGATCCTGAAAAGCTTAACTAACTGGTTCAGGTGTTTGATTAGGGTTGGAGCTGAACTCTGCTGGACAGTGGGTCCCCACAAGCAGGGTTGAAGACCTCTGGATTAGCAGTGTGCGATATATATCGTCTACGATAATATCGTAATTGTTGTCTTAACAATGTGCGATTTTACGTTATCGAGTATATCGCAAAAGCCAAACAAAACACAGAGTACACACTTACATTACGTGATGAAGACTAGTAGGTTAGACTAATGCGCATGCGCATTTACAGTCCGTTCTTTCACTGCATGATTCAGTCTATTAAAATGCATTTAGAATGATCACAAAATTCAAGATATGGGAGCAGAAAATTTATGTATTTATATAATTTCATATAGTTAAAGAATATCAGACGAAAAGTGCTGTTTTTTCTCCAAAAATCAGCATGATTACAAATATGATATTGAATTTATACTACAGTTCAATAAACAAGAAGTTAATATTAAGAGACTTACGTTTTCGACACCACATCGCCTGTTTTTGCTCTATTTCGCCAACAGAAATAATTCCAAACAAAGCCACAGCACTGTTTTGCGTCTCTGAGCAACATGACGGTGTCTCGTTCCTGAATGAATCACCCGTTTAAATGATTCGGTTCAGTCGCAATGACTCACTT